AATAATTCTTTTTCTGAGTTAATGTAGACACTATATAGCTTTCATTTGATTAGTGTTTACATGGTATATTTTTCTCTATTCCTTTACTTTTGAGCTACTTCTTTCATTTTATTTGAAGTTTCTTTAGGCAGCATATTATTGGGTCATGTTACTTTATTCTGACAATCTTTTTATTGTAAACTCTTTATATTAAATATAAATTTCATTGTACTTATATTAAATATAAGTACTATAATATGATTACATTATTATGTGTAAATACAATTTTGATGTCAAGTAGTATAATTTTAGTGTAATCATATTAAATGTAATATATATGGATTTATGTCTACCGGTTTAAAATATTTGTTCCCTGTATTTTCTACTCCTTATTTCTTCTTTTCTTTTGCTTTTTTTCGATTACAGTTCTTGATTGTGTCCTTTGTATACCCTTTTTAGATTACACAGTGCATATTTTTAGTGTACTTAAAATTAATGTTTTATCACTTCAAGTGAAATATAGAAACCTTTCCACTATATAGATTGCTTTGCCTTCCCACTTAGTTTTCTAATTGTCATCTTTGTATGTGGAAAACTCATCAGGCAGTGCTATAATTTTTGTGTTCAGTTATCATACATAATTTAAAGAACTTGAGGAAAAATTGTTTTTATTTACCCAGTTGTTTGCTGTATGTGTTACTTTTCCTTTGTCCCTGAAATTCAGCTATCATTTGTCATCATTTTAATTGGAGTCTCAGTTTCTTTTTGTATTTTTTAGAGCAGATTTACTGTCAAAAATTTTTCTCAACCTTCATTTAAGAATCTCTTGATTGCATTCTTGAAGTAGTTTTTGAATAGAGAATTCTGGGCTGATTATTCTTTTTTTTTAACCACTTGACAAATGTTTCAGTCCCTTCTGGGCTGCATGGTTACTGGTGATCAATGGACCACATGCTGGAATCATTATTACTTTATATTTAATGCATAGTTTTGTCTAGCTACTTGTAAGGTATTTTATTCCTCTTTAATTTTCAGCAGTTTGGTTATGGTATTTGGACGTGGATTTCTTTGATTTTTATCCTGCTTAGGTTCACTTTGCTTTTTGATTCTGTAAATCTGGTGGACTTGGACCAAATTTTGTGAATTTTCAGCCATTGATTCTTCCAAAGTTTTTTAGCATCATAGTGTTTGTCTGCTCCTCTAGGATTTTCATGACTCAAATGTTAGAGCTTTGTTATTGTTCTATACATCCCTGAGATTGTTATGTACTTTTTTCTACTCTTATATTTTTACTTTGAAACTTTCTATTCATCTGTTTTTCAAATTCAGTGATTCTTTCCTCTGTCATTTTCATTCTGTTATTGAATTCTTATAGTGAATTTTAAACTTTGGTTATTATGGATTTTAGTTCTAAAGTTTTCATTTGTTTCTTTTTTTTCAACCTTCTGTTCCTCTTCTAAAACTCTTTGTTTCAAGTGTTTAGTTTACTTCTTGGGGCATAGTTTTAGTAGAGTCTTTTAAATATATTCTTCATTATTCCAGCATTTATGTACATTTTGATTATTTTCATTCTATGAAATAGTGGATTTTTTGGTTTCTTTATATAACAATTAGTTTTGGATTGTATCTTAGCCAGTTTGACGTATGGTGTGTGATTCTGAGTCTTTTTTTTAAATCCTGTGGAAAATGTTGAAGTTTTGCTTTAGCAAGCAGTTGACCTAATTAGGTTTAGGCTGCAAGTTCCAACCAGTATTCCATAGGCTGTAGTTCCAGCATCATTTCTATTTTGGATCTTAACTGCATATATGGTCCCCTCCTGTTCAGTCTGACTCCTGGTCGATGGTTGGGTCATAGTTCAGTTCTCAAAGCCTTTGGTGTACTTTCTGAGTCAGGTCCATGCATGGCCAGCTCAGAGGTGACCCCAGGAATGGACATACAACTTTACAAGTTTCCATCAACTCTCTTCTTTCCAGAATCCTTCTGATGTTCCTTGGCTTCTAAGGACAACCCCAATACTTCCTAGTTATGTGGCCAGAAACATGAAGCTTTAGTTGCCTTGTATTTCAGCATACTTTTTTTTTTGGTACCAGGCATCGAACTCAGGTCCTTGCTCTTGTGCAGCAGGTGGCAAAACCACTGAACTAACTCTCCGGCCCTCAGCATGCGTTTCTATAGCTATGTTAGTCTCTGTGCCCAAGCAGAAAGAAGACAGAACAGAAATAAAGGGGGGAATCTCCAGAAAATAGAATTCTTGCAACTTTTAGCGCCTTCCTTGGTATAACTGTTATTACCCACCACTGTTTTGGGGGCAAATTCAGGGGAGAAAAGGATAAAACCAACAAAATCCAGGGAATGTCTCCCATCAAATAAAAGGACAGTGTTTTCCATATAGATTTTCTATTTTCTCCTCAAATAGCAGGAATGTAAGAAGGTAATGGCTTAATGCCTGCCTTTCATGGTTCCTGCCATGATTACTTTAATTATATTGAAACCTCTTGAGGAACTATAGAATAGAGCTATGTACTGCAGTAACTCTTCTTGTATTTGTATCCAAAACTTCTCTGGAACCTAAAAACACCTACTTGCTCTTCTTTCTGTAGTTCCAGCTTCCATTTTTTGTTTGTTGGTTGGTTTTTGGTTTTTTGTGGTATTGGGGATTGAACTCAGGACCTTGAGCTTGTGAGGCAGGCATGGCACCACAGAGCTAAATCCTTGGCTACAGCTTCCTTTTTTTTTTTTTTTTTTTGGCTTTTTGGTACCAGAGATCGAACTCAGGTTCTTGCACTTGCGCAGCAGGTGGCGAAACCACTGAGCTAAATCCCCAGCCCCCAGCTTCCATTTTTGATAAAGAATTAAAAGTCTCTTTCTTGAGTCTTTTTTTTATGTTTGTATATACCATTCTCAGGTAGCCTAGGCTTTTCTGAATTTGTCCTTGTAACTCCTTTGCCATCGAAATGATTTTTAACAACCTATTCCATTTGTAATTATAGGTCAGTTTTAAGAACTCAAAAAGTAGTGTATAATTTCTTTGGAATAACTTCTTTAGGATTGATGTTTTGTACTTCCATTTACAACTACTACCACGACTGTTTATTATTATTACTACCATGATTACAATTTTTGGTTTTAGAGATTGCAATAAATTCAAGGCTTCTAGTATGCTAATTACATGCTCTGCTACTGAACCAAATACCCCTAGCTCTGTACTCCCATTTAAATAGATACTAAATTTGGTTTTATGGTATTGTGTTATGCAAAAGGAGGAAACAAAATGATTTCTTCCAAACTGAGTTTAATAAAGATACTAATTTGTGTTTCACTAATACATATCTTTTCCATAGCCACTTCCCTGGTTGCCTACCTATCATGATCCTTGTGGTAGGACCCCAGTTCCATTGACTGTCTTATTATCTACTTTGTTTTCTTTATCATCAGGCATCTTCCACCTGCCTAAGAATTTCTGGTCACCAGTTTTTTTCATGAAGATGTTGCTAGCAATTTAAAATAATTTTTTAAAATGTAATATTATATGTAATAAATTCATTCCCTTCAAGCCCCCTCCCCTCTCTTTGTACAAAAGCTTTGTTACCATTTTTTCCTTCTATTGTCAGTTTTTTCCTGTCGCTTTCCTCCTCCCTTGTTCCCCTTCCCATTTCAAAATTGTCTTCCCTTTTTCCAACATCCATTATACATCTCAGTTCTATTTCCACAGTTTCTCACACCAGAGAAACTGTGCGGTATTTAAACATATATGTCTGATTCATTTCGCTTAATAAGGGCCTAGTGCTCTTAATCAAAAATCAGGTAGATGTTTATTTCTGGATTCGCTATTCTGGTTCATTGATTTATTTGTCTGTCTTTATGTCAGTACCATATTGTTTTAAATACTATAGCTTTATGATGTATTTTGAAGTCAGAAATTATGATGCTTCCAGGTCTGTTCCTTTTCAGTTTCTTTTGTAGTTATAGGTCTGTCCAGATTTTCTTTTTTCTTTTTTCTTCCCCCCATCCCCTCCCGTCCAGCTTTTCTATTGATTTATGATTCAGTCTTGATAGATTTTATGGTTTTAGGAATTTATCCATTTTAATTAGATTATGTAATTTGTTGGTGTGTAATTTTCATAATACAGTAGTCTCTTATGATCCTTTTTTCTTTCTGTGGCAACTTGTAATACCTCCTCTTTCATTTTTTACTTTATTTGAATTTTTTCTTAGTCTAGCTAGAGGTTTGTCAACTTTACTGATCTTTTCCACAAATCAGTTGTGTTATTGATTTTTCTATTGTTTTCACTATTTTGCTCAGTTTTGCTTTTAATTTTTATTATTTCCTTCTTCTCCTAACTTTGAGTTTAGCTCTTTATTCCTTAGTTTCTTGAGGTATAAAATTAGTATGTTAATTTTAGATCTTTTAATTTTAAATGTAGATATTTACTGTTACAAACTACTGCTTTTGCTGTATCCTGAAAGTTTTACTGTGTTGTATTTTCACTTAGCTCAAGATGTATTCTGATTTCCCTTTTGATTTGTTCTTTGGCTCATCAGTTGTTCAAAAATGTGTTGTTTAATGTCCACATTTTTGGTACCGGGAATCAAACTCAGGGCTGGGGATATAGCTCATTGCCAGAGTGCTTGCCTAGTATTCACAAGGCCCTGGGTTCAGTCTCCAGTGTTTGGTGCTGTTAATAATGGAGTTTGGGCCAGGATGCTATTAGTAATGGAGTTTGTTAGCTCGTAAGGAGACTGAAGGAAAATTCACATGTAACTCTTCTTCCGTAAACCAATCAAAACAACTTTATAATGGAAGCTTATTTTGTAACAAGGGCACACAACAACAACAACAAAAAAAGCCGTGCTCTTCATGAATATACCTACTCCTGTGGTCTTCATTGCTTTTTTTTTTTTTGTACTGGGGATTGAACTCGGGACCTTGGACTTGCGAGGCAGGCGGCAGAACCACTAAGCTAAATCCTCAGCTCTTCATTGCTTTTTGATTTTGAAATTGCCTCCTTATTCCCTTGCAGGTATAGAACAAGATGCAGTGAATACTTTTACCAAATATATATCTCCAGATGCTGCTAAACCCATACCAATTACAGAAGCAATGAGAAATGACATCATAGGTAAGCAGTGCTTGAAGCTATTGCCAAAAATCTAATTATTTTTTGGTTGTTGACTAAGATAATTTTTTATGAACATGGAATATAACTATTATCCTCCTACTCTGTTTTTAGAGTACTTTCTTATACTGTATTTGATTGCAGTTTACCTAAAGACTTTGTCTCTTATGTGTGAACCCAAATACTTTGACTTTAACTTGAATAACAGCAACAGCAACAACAATAATAATACATATTTACTGAACACACACCATGTCCCAGATGATATTCTGAGGATTCTTCATAGATGAACTTATTTAAGCATCTAACGAACCTGTGGGATGCTTAAAAATTTTGTAGTGAGGAAACTGAAGTAGTGAGAAGATAAGTACTTTGTCCAAAGTAACATCTCAGATGTGGCAGAGTCAAGATTTGGGACTAGACATCCACACTTTAACTACTGTGGTATAGTGGCAGTATTTTCATACTGTACATTGATACCAGCCATCTCTTCTGCCCTTATATCCCTGCCAAAATAAGACTAGAATAGAACAGGTGTTTCAGAGTAGTAAAGAAAAACCTCATTTCAGAAAATTTTTTCATCATACACTTAAAAATATGTGTGTATACAATGCTGAGTCAACATATGTATTTCTAGATCATAGTGAAAAAATAACTTGAAAGTTTTTATTTTGTTTCATCAGGGAGACCTAAGGTGGACCTATTATTCACAAATAAAAATGATTTGTTTGTTCAACAGATATTTATATCCCCCAAGTCCTATTGCTAAGATTTTAATTTTTATTAATCTAAAGATTAGTATTTGTGATCTATGAAATAAAACATGTTATTCTACTCCTAACAGATTCTTCTAGGGCAAAGCTTCTTCAGTCCTGACTGTGAGAACTTTGCACTCATAAATGGAGAAAGCGTGATCCTTTTAAGGCTCTGCTCTGGTTAAATGAACTCATCATACTTTCCTATGAATACCTGTTGACTATTTTAGGGTCCATCAGATGGTGGCTCTATTTTCCTTTCTTTCACACGTGCAGACATCTATAGGTCTTGTGGCTGTTGGTGTATTTTCTCCATCTGTTTGTATTATAAGGTTTGTGGGATACTATTTCACCAAGTTTTATTGACAGATGTTGTGAAGGGATTTTGGTTTTTCTATGTAGTTGTTCTGTTTTTAGGTGTGAATTAGTTGCTACCATCTTCCAGACTTCCAAGGCTTTCTTTTCCTAGTAGTACAGTTAGGGTCTTATAACTGCTTAGAATTTGACTGGTTGAATAATTAGTTGGATAGTAATTCCTTTGGGAGTCTCTACTGACTGATAACTAAACTGTCTATGTTTGAGAAGAAAAGGCAGAAGAAATATTGAGCCAAATAAAACATTTTAAAATGAAATGTCACTAAAACTTAAATTAGTTGTGTAATCCTAGGAGGAAAAGAAATCTGAAGAATCAGGTTAGTAACACTTAGTGATGAGGGGATCTGAAAAAATTCCATCCCTGTGTCTATTACATGTTTTAGAATGTTAATTACCTGTATGGCTTAGACAAGTCATTTTTTCCTCTTTGAGCCTCATTCTTCTGAATTTTGTTTTGATATTTTGCCCCCACCTATGTTTTAATACGGCTGTGCTTCAAATGACTTATTTGAAAGATCTTCTATTTTGGCACTTTACGGTGTATCAACCTGCTTAGTTTTGTTATAAATCTTGTCAAGAAAGACTAAAGATGTCTCTTTGAAATTTGAACACCTAGAATTATGGAGTTGTCATTTGTAAGATGAGGAGGGCTTATGGGCAAAATCAGGAGTTGGGTTTTACACTTCCAAATAGTTAATTTAAGTAGACATTTGGATATCTGTTAGTTCATATCAGAGATTCATGTTGGAGATACATAAATTTGGAAATTATCAGGCCATAGATGGAGTTAGAACCATAAAATTGGATAACAGTACCTTAGGAGTGAGTATAATGAGGGAAGACAAGAGATTATGGGAATGTAGCTCAGGGGAAGAGTGCTTGCCTGGCACGTGCGAGGCCTTAGGTTTAATTCCTAGCACATCAGGAGGGAGGGAGAGAGGGATGTAAGGACTGAGTTCTAGGGCATGTTTAACATTTAGAAGCCTACTGATGAGGAAGAACTAGCAAAAGATACTTGGAAGTAACAGCCTCAAAGTAGTATATACCTAGAGAGTGGTTTTCTTGGAAGCCAGGTAAAAATATGTATCAGGGAGAGAGCGGTCAAAGATGATTTATGATGCTGATAGGTTAAGATGAGTACTAGAAATTGAATGGATTTGGCAAACCAGTGTACATTGGTCATCTTGATTACAGTAGTGTATTGTTGACCAAAACTTAGTTGGAAGAATACTAGGAGAAAATAGGAAAAAGAGGGAACAAATTTTATGGGGCGTATTGCTTTGAAGGTGAGGTGGATAGGGATATGAAGTCAAGGCACAAGGTGTTTGATTTTATTTTTTGTAGGAAAGGATTTAAAAATTTTTTATTGGTATACTTTTGATATACATAATGATCACATTCATCATAGAGAATTTGTACCTGTTTATAATATATCTTGATTCTTCCTTTTTTCTCCCCCATTCCCCTCCTCTGTCTTCAACCCTCTTCCTCTCCACATTTATGAAAGCATTTTTTCCTTCTATTCTCTGATTTTATTTTTAAGGTGAGATATGAGCCTATAAAGTGTAATATAGCATACAGACAGGCATACATGTATAGCGTACAGTCTATGCAGGTAATGAGATTGAGGCAGTAGCAAAGGAAAAGTTGATGTCAGAGAGGAGACACTTGTTATAGGAAAGATATCTTTGGGCAAAAGAAGATGGGTTCCAGTACTCAAAATGAGGGCTACTTAGGTTAGAGCAAGAATATTCATCTGTAGTACAAGAGAGAATATAGAACACCTGGATAGAGATTTAGATGAGTTGGAAGATGGAAATAGTTTTGCCATTGCTTCTGTTTTCTCAGTGAAGTAGGAAAAGTCCTTAGCAAAGAGAGTAGATTTCTGAAAAGATAAAAATATCAGAAGTGAACCATATCTTTAAACAAATGGACCTAATAGATATCTACAGAGTATTTCAACAGCAACAGAACACATATTTTTCTCAGTAACACATGGAATGTTTTCCAAAATAAACCACATATTAGCCCATAAACAGGCTAAAATAAATAAAAAGAATGGAAATTATCCCATGCATATTATCAGATTATAGTGCTTTGCAACTAGAAATCAATGACAAAACAGAAAACAGGGCCAGGGCTTTAGCTCAGTGGTTCTGCCACCTGCCTCAAAACAGAAAAAAAACTATGCAAACACATAGAATTTATACTATACTCTTTAATGATCAGAGGGTCACAGAAGAAATCAAGGAAGAAATTAGACTGTTCCTAGAATCAGATGACAATGCCATTACAACATACCAGAACCTAGGAGACCCAATGAAAGTAGTCCTGAGAGGGAAGCTTATAGCTGCGAATGCCCACATCAGAAAAACAGAGCCCAAATAACCTCCAGATGCACCTGAAAGTACTAGCAAGAAAAGAACAATTCAAATCCAAACCTAGCACAAGGAAAGATATTATAAAGATTAGAGCAGAAATTAATTGAGACTTTAAAACATTACAAAGAATCAGTGAATTGAATAGCTGGTTCTTTGAAAGAATAAATAAAATAGACCCCCCCCCCCAAAAAAGGAAAGAAAAGACCCAAATCAATGCAGTTGGAAATGAAAAAGGTCAAATCACAACAGGTGCTGCCAAAACCTAGATTATTAGTAACTACTTCAAAAACCTGTACTCCAGTAAATTGAAGAATCCAAAAGAAATAGATTCCTAGATACATACGCAGTATCGAAACTGAATGAAGAAGACATGAAAACCCAATATGAAAATCCCATAACAGGCAATGAAATTGAGGCAGCAATTGAAAACCTACCAACTAGCTGGATGTGGTGGCACAAGCCTATAATCCCAGCACTTGGGAGTCTTAGGAGGATCACTGGAGTTTGAACCCAGCGTGGGTTACATAGTGAGTTCAAGGCTAGCCTAAACTACCTGTCAAAACAAAACAAGATGAAACAAAGCAAAATAAAACAACTAAGAAAAGCCCAGAGCCTGATGGATTCGCTCCTGAATTTTTTAAGAACTTCAGGAAAAACTGAATCTCATTTCTCCTCAAACTCTTTAACAAAATTGAAAGGGAAGGAACACTGCCAAACCCATTCCTGGAAGCATTACCTTGGCTCCCAAACCAGACAAGGATCCAAACAAAAAATTCAACAACAGACCAATCTCTTTAAATGATGGTAGACATAAAACTCAACAAGGTACTGGCAAACGGAATGCAAAAAATCGTCAGAAAGATCATACATTATGACCAAGTAGTCTTCATCCAAAGGAAGAAAGGATGGTTCAGCATACACAAATCAACAGTAATACAGAAGCAAGGATAAAAAAAACCCAAATGATCATCTTAATAGAAAAGCTTTTGACAAAATCCAACATCTATTTATGATTTAAAAAAAAAAACCTAAAGAAAATAGGTATAGAAGGACCTCATCTCAGTTTGACAAAAGGTATTTATGACAAACCTAGCTGCAAGAAAAATTACTTAGGACTTAACAAAGGAAGTAAAAGACCTGTAAAATGAAAATTGTAGTACTCTGAAAAAGGAGATAAAAGAGAACATCAGAAAATGGATAGATTCCCCTGTTCCTGAATAGGCAAAACCAATATTGTCAAAATGGCCATACATCCAAAACTGATAAATAGATTTAATGCAATCCTAATCAGAATACCAATAGTAGGGCCGGGGATTTAGCTCAGTGGTTCTGCCGCCTGCCTCACAAGCGCAAGGTCCTGAATTCGATCTCTGGTACCCAAAACCCCCCCAAAAACAATACCAATAATATTCTTCACACAACTAGAGAAAATAATCCTAAAATTTATATCAAACCAGAAGAGACCCAGAATAGCAAAAGTTGTCCTGAACAACAAGAGCAAAGCATGAGGCATCAGGATCTCAGATTTCAAGTTATTTTACAAAGCTATGTTGATGCAGACAGCATGGTATAGGCACAAAGACAGACATGTGGATCAGTGGAATTCATAAAGGATGTAGAAACAACCTTAGGCACATTCCGTCATCTAATTTTTTACAGTGGGACCAAAAACACATGCTGGAAGAAAGATAGCCTCTTTAACAGATGGCACTGCAAGCAATGGCTATCCCCATGCAAAATGTTGACTCTAGATCCATATCTTACCATGTACTAAACTGAAATCAGAATGGATCAGTAATGTAAATTGTCATGGTTTGGTTCTAGATGCCCTCTCAAACCTTCATTTGGTCATAGGTGGGTGAATCTAGAGTGTGTGATGCTAGGATTAAGAGCATGTGATTACTAAACCATTATATGTGAGTGATTGGTTTGGCACCATCCTAATCCTGGTAGTCTGAATAAGACAAAAGGAACAGAAAGACAATGTTAAGGTCTCATGTTGCCTTTGCTGCTTCCACCACCATGAACTATTGCTCCTCTTCCACCCTGCCTTGGAGCCAGCCGATTATGGACTCAAACCTCTGTGAACTGTGAGCTAAATAAACCTCTTCCCCTTTAACTTCGGGTGTTGGGTATTTTGTCTCAGCAACAATAGAAAAGTGACTAACATAAATATTAAAACAGAAACAGTCTGCTTGAAGATAAAATAGGCAAAACTCTTGACATAAGCATAGGCAAGGACTTTCTTTCTTTCTTTCTTTCTTTCTTTTTTGGTCCTGGGGATCAAACTCAGGACCTTGCACTTACGAGGCAGGTGACAGCACCACTGAGCTAAATCCCCAGGCCAAGGACTTCCTGAACAGAACTATAATTGCACAAGAAAAAAACATCAAGAATCAACAAAGAGGATCATATCAAATTAGAAATCGTCTGCACACCAAAGGAAACAACCAACATAGAGGAGACAACCTAGAGAATGGGGAATAGTTCTTTGCCAGCTACTCCTCAGACAGAGAACTACTATGTAGAATATGTAAAGAACACAAAAATCAGACCTCCAAATGTAAAAGGCCCAGTCAAAAATGGGCCATTGAAATGAAGTAGTACCAATCTCTGAAGTATAAATGGCCAATAAATATGTGAAAAAATTTTCAGTATTTCTGTTCATTAGAGAAATGCAAATGAAAACAACCCTTGAGATTCCATGTTGTTCCAGAAAGAATGGCTATCATCAAGAGGTCAAATAATAATGCTGGCAAGGGTGCAGGGAAAAAAGAACCCATCTACACTGTCAGTGGGAGTGTATGCTAGTACAACCACTATGGAAATCAGTTTGGAGATTCCTCAAAAAACTAAAACTAGCCGGGGATTTAGCTCAGTGGTTCCGGTGCCTGCCTTGCAAGTGCAAGGTCTGGAGTTCGATCCCCGGTACCAAAACCAAAAAAACTAAAACTAGAAGTTATATTTGAAGGGCCAGGGATTTAGCTCAGTGGTTCTGTTGCCTGCCTCGCAAGTGCAAGAACCCGAGTTCGATCCCCAATACCAAAAAAGAAATTCTATTTGACCCAGCTATTCCCCTTCTAGCTATCTCCTTGAAAGAGCTAAAGATATATTCATAGCCATGTTTATAGCAGCATAACTTATAATAGCTAAATCTTACAAGTGGTCTGTATATTCATCAACAGATAAATAAAGAAAATGTGGAATTTATACATAATGGAGTACTACTATGCCATAAGGAGGGATAAATTTGAGTCATTTGTAGGAAAATGGGTGCACCTTGAAACAATAAAGTTAAATAAAATAAATCATAAACAACTTAAATATTTCATGGTTTCTCTTATATGAGAAACCCAAAGTATAAATAATTTAAAGAGCAAAATAAAAGATAATAGGAAACAGGGAGATAGATCTATAGCAAATGGCAAGGAGACTAAAAGGGAGAAGGTGTGGGGGGATTAAAAAGAATTAAGATTGGTTATATACATGTAGTAACTCCCTAGGATGAATGTAATCATTATGAACTACAAACTTATACTAGTAAAAATGAAAATAATTAAAAAGATACATAAGTATATAGAAAAAAACAAGCTCAGTTTCTCCTAGTATACTTACATAACACAGAACACTTGTGACCGCAGTGTGTAGGGCTTTTTGCATGTCAGAGAACAATTCTGTAATTAATTCTCCAGCAGACAATGGTTGAGTCTCCTTGAATTTAGTTCAGTTCTGTCACTGTGTACTTGCAGATAGCATCAGATCCCATGGATCATGGGCTTAATCCCCAAGGCTATCCACACTCCTTAAGCACAGGTGGTGGCTTTTGCTTCTAACCAATGAGTTATAAATTGGGTTTGCCATGATCCCTTCCCTGGTTTTGCTTTATTTCCTCAAGTAGCTCATAGAACTTCAAGAAACACTTTTATGTTCCTGTTTATTATAAGGGATATTACAAAGAATATAGATGAACAGCTTAGATGTAAGAAGTGTATAGGGCAAAGTATGGGAGAAGGGGCATGAAGCATCCGTGCTTTCACCAGATACACCACCCTCTAGGAGCCTCTATGTGTGCAGTTAGTTGTCTGAAGCCTTCCTTTTCCACCCCATCCTTTTGCATTGTTATAGAGGCTTTATTATATAGGCATAATTGAATAAATCCTGACCATTGATGTTCAGTCTTCAGTGACTCTCCCCAGAGGTTGGGGGTTGAGGCTAGCTGATGACCAGCCTCCATCTTGAAGCTCTTTATAGAGGCTCCCAGCCACCAGTCTTCTCATTTGCATAGGACACTCATCACTAAGGAGAGTCCCAAGAATTTTAGAAGCTGTATGCTAATAAATGGACAAAGACCACATACATATTTTATAGTATCATAGCTAGCTATTGTCTAGAAGAGCATGAGAGTAAAGGAACTAGTGGACCAGGAAACTAGTATGATCCTTGGGTTTCCAACTTTGAGTGTCAGTAAGATCTCTTTAAGGTCATGAACTTGGAGTGAGACATCAGTTATTTTTTTATCCCCACAATGTTTAACAGTTAACTCAAACAGTTTATTGGTTTGCTGCAATTTGTTTAGGCAATTCCTTGTTTTACCCCATTTATGTTTTTAAGTTTCCCATCTATTAATTTGTGTGTGTGTGTGTATGGTGCTGGGGATTGAACCCAGTGCTTTGCTCATACTGAACACCCAGCTCTACCTCTGAGCTACACCTCCACCCCAACCAATGACATTATAATAAACTTCTTTTACCATTAAATCTTTTCATAAGTTAATACTTCTTTAGGTCACAATCCTTGAAATAGAATTACTGATTGAAAGATTATGTTCATTTTTAAAACTTATGTTAGAAACTGCCAAATTGCCCTACAGAAGATACACCAGTGTATACTTGCAATAACATTAGTGGCAGTTTCTCTGTACCCTTGCTCAAGCATATGTATTATTAAACAGTTACTCAAATGTATTGTTAAGATAGTTTTGTGCCAATTTACTATATAAAGACTATAAGGGCTGGGGATTTAGTTCAGTGGTTTCGCCACCTGCTACACAAGCGCAAGGACCCAAGTTCGATCCCCAGTACCAGAAAAACAAACAAAAAAAGACTATAGAGTTTCCTTATTCTAATTGTAACTTATTTGATTACTAGTGACCATGTCTGTCTTCATATTCTGTTTGTTCTTTTGTGAGTTATATGTCATGTCCTTTGCTCATTTTTCTTGTGGGACATTTCTTACTAGTTTGTAAGTTTTTGATAAATCTTTTAATTGTCTATTTGCTACAGTTTTTTGTTTTCTTTTTAAATTTTGTTTTTGGGGTATTTTAATGAAATGAATTTTACATTGTTAAATCTTTCAGTCGCTGCTTTTGCATATATATCTCTCAAAACCTTTTCTACCTTGAGCTAGTACCTGTATTTTCTTTTAGTTTAGCTTAAAGCCTTCTCATTTATATACCGTTTCTATTTTTTTCCCAATTTCAGTAGTTTGGACTTAGTAGAAACTTAACTATTTACTGTGTCTTTTACAGCAAAGATTTGTGGAGAAGATGGACAGGTGGATCCCAATTGTTTTGTTTTGGCGCAGGCCATAGTCTTTAATGCAATGGAACAAGAGTAAGTTAGTTCAATATTTTCACACTTTGCTTCTTGGAAATTTGGGTTTGGTGTTGGGAATGAACTTCACTCAACAAAAAACAAAGTATGTTTGAGGATTAGTTTGTGTATTTACAATATCATATAAGTATATTCCAAGACTCTTGGTTAGTAATTTCTTTTAAATATGAATTGTGTGAATTCTAGTGAAGATAAAATAGTTTTCACTTTTTGTTTTGTTTTGTTTTTTGGTACCGGAGCTTGAACTCAGAACCTTATGCTTATAGCTTTCATTTTTAATGTTAATAATACCTAAGTTAAAAGAATTTTAGCTCTAAAGTCATTTGTATGTAATTGAAACCTAAGTTATATAACTCTTAGAAATGGTTTATTTAAAAAATACATGTCTTGGAAACAAAGCTTTTATACATAGGGAGGGGAAGGGGCTTGAGGGGAAGGAATGCAATAAAATAAAATAAAATTTATTGTTAAAAATGCATGTCTAGGGCTGGGGATTTAGCGCAGTGGTTCCGGCGCCTGCCTCACAAGCACAGTGTCCCAAGTTCAATCCCCGGTACCAAAAAAAAAAATAAATAAAAATAAAAATGCACGCCTTCAGATGGATGTCCTAATTTGTTTGTTTTTGCTTTTAGTTTAATGTGTGTGCTATATAACTAAATCCACAAAGATTTGTTGAAACTGCCTCCAGAGTTTTTTAGTTTAGTTATTGCTGTATGTCCTTAAACATGTATATATGTTTTCATTCTTTTGTAAATGTTCTGTGTAGGGCACAGTTTAGTCCCGGCCTTGAAGGAAGTTATAGTGTTAAAAAAACAAACAAAAAAAGGACATATTTTTTGGTTACATTACTGTAAGGTAGCATGTGTTAAATATCAGAGGAGAGCTATAAAGTCATTAAGTGGGAGAGATTACTTACATAAAGGAATCAGGGTCAACAGTATGGGAAGTGAGGAAACTTTGACCTAAGCCTTTAAGATACAGTTGGGGCAGTATGGAAAGAGTCTGTTTTCCCCAGTTAAGCTCTTTCCTTGGTTATTCCCTCAAAATTTCCCTTTTGTCCACGTGCAGGCACTTTAGTGAGTTTCTGCGAAGTCACCATTTCTGTAAATACCAGATTGAAGTGCTGACCAGTGGAACTGTTTACCTGGCTGACATTCTCTTCTGTGAGTCAGCCCTCTTTTATTTCTCTGAGGTAAATTCTGCATTTCCTTTTATACTCTTATCTGCTAGAGCTTCCCAGCTTCTGAACTATAAATGCTGGGATCCTGTGTATAAAAGACATAGAAGAGCTGAATCATTTCTAAAATGATTTATTATTGTTTTAAATTGTTTTCAATGGCAAGAGTACTTTGATGGCATGTTTGTCAAATTAAAGAGAACATGAAAATTCAGTGTAAAATAACTTAATTTTGAAAAACCTGATTAAGGTACTGCTTATACGAGAATGCAAGTTTTTAATTATTGGGAACTATTTTTGAACCATAGAATTTGATACTTAACTCCTGTGCATAAATAATTGGAGACCTGATTTCTAAAGAGAGAAAGAAAAATAGTAAATTTTTTCCTACTCTGTCAATTTTACTTTAGCTGCTTGATAGGATTAACCAATGAAGCATTTGTGACAAACATCAAGTATATTAGTCTCTTTGAGGCATATGGTATCTGTTAGGCTTCAGCAAATAAAATTCTTTTGTTGCAAAAAATTAACTATGAGAGGATTCCCAATTTTACAAAGCAGTAACTTTAATACTTTCGATTCTGCCTCTTTGTAAGAATTCAGTTATTCAGTTGACTTTCACTCCCTTTCTTTACCATAAGTTTAAATTGGGATTTATTCAGGTTAATATGTCCTCATGGAATGATAGAAATGATCAGATGTAAAAGATTTGGTTTGATTGCTTATTTATATGTTTGTCAGCAAGGAACTACTAATCTAATTTAGTGTAATTTTTATTTCAGTTCACTAAAGTCTACATCCAGCTCTGTGGTAGTTTTATTTTGTTCATTTTAGGTTGTATTTTTTCTCTTCTAAAAGAGTATTTTAAAACTTTTCTATTTCAAATGACTGTATGTTGCTGACTGATATAGGTGAAGAAGTGGATCTTTTTTACTTCTTGCTTTATCCTGTATTTTAATACTTTGAACTTATAGATTAGAGCTGTTGAGAGTAATCTGTTTCTTGTCTTATTTTTCCCTTTTGTATTTTTCCTTCCTAGTACATGGAAAAAGAAGATGCAGTGAATATTTTACAATTCTGGTTGGCAGCAGATAACTTTCAGTCTCAGCTTGCTGCCAAAAAGGGCCAATATGATGGACAGGAAGCACAGAATGATGCCATGATTTTATATGACAAGTAAGTTTTAATAGATACCTTCAGCAGGTATTTATTTGGCATTTGCTATTATGCAGCTTGGAAATAAAAATATATAAATTCAGTTTCTGCTGTCAAGAAGCTCAGGAGCCCAGAGGAGACCTCCAGATCAGAGCACCATGGCTCCCAGGCAGCAGAAGGCTTCCAGGTAGGCATGCCATGGCTCCAAGCCCAGAGGACACGGCCAGATGAGTGCACCACTGCTCCCAGCCAGGAGAAGGTGTCCAGGTAGGCACACCTCTGAGCCCAGATGAGACCTCCAGATTGGAGCACCATGGCTTGCAGGCAGCAGGAGGCTTCTCGGTAGATGTGCTACAGCTCCCAGTGTACAGGAAGCTCCTGGGTAGGCGTGCCACGGCTCCGAGCCTAGAGGAGGTGAGCCGTGACAGACCCACCCTACACACACAACCCTGCCCCCCCCCCAGCTTGTCAAAATGAGAAGACAGGTAAACAAGCCACAGAACCAGTCTTCCAGATCACCTACAGCAACCCCAAAGGGAAACGAGATGGAACACTCTGATACTCAACCACCTGCACTCCCTGAACTAGCAACAAAAGAGGATCTGGAAAAAATGAAGTCAGAAATAATTTCTCACATAACAGCAAAGATCATCCCCATAGTGTAAGACCTGATTAATAAATCTAGAGAGGATACAGATACAAGATAGAGGAGCTGAGGAACATGATGGAATGCCAACATAGGAAACAAATTGAATCCATAAAACAGATGCAAACAGATTTCCAGGAGATTAAAACCTCCATTGAAAGTCTATGCAGTAGAATGAGCCAATGTGAAGATAGAATTTCAGATACAGAAGATAAGATTGCAGTTAGTGACCAGGAAAAGAAAAAATTCTTTAAAATTTTAAGGGACCATGAGAAATCACTCCAGCAGCTGCTAGATGATGCAAAAAAAAATAACAAGACTGATTGGAGTCAACGAAGAAACAGGAGAGAGGGCAGATGACATAAAAAATCTGTTTACAGAAGTGATGACAGAAAACTTCCCAAAGAGGGGAAAAGAATTTGACATACAGATAAGCGAGGTTTTGATCAAAAAAAATCTACACATAGGCATATAATTGTTAAGATTCCAGAAATCCAACAGAAGAACAAAATTCTACAAGTAGTTAGAGAAAAGAAACAAATCACATACAGAGGAAAGCCCATCAGAATCACAGCACACTTCTCAGTGCAAACCCTCAAGGCAAGAAGAGCTTGGAATGATGTGTTTCAGGCCCTAAAGGAAAAAACCTCCAACCCAGATTGATGTACCCTGCAAAACTATCTTTCAAAACTGGTGGTGAAATAAGATGCTTTCATGACAAAGAGCACCTTAGGAACTTCATGAATACCAAACCGGCACTCCAAAAAATTTTAGACAAAATCCTAGGAAAAGATAACGAGGATCACAACCCCAGGAAGCCCAGCAGAATGAATCCGCTGGGCACGACAAGAAATTAAAAGCAAAGGGGCAGGATCAAACAAAAAGAAAAGGTCATGAAAATGATAACTCAATACATGTCAGTTAGAACCATCAACGTTAATGGTCTCAACTCACCAATCAAAAGAAATAGACTGGCAGAATGGGTCAAGAAGTAAGATCCAACAATATGTTGCATTCAAGAAACACACTTAATTCAAAAAGAAACTCATAGATTGAAAGTTAAATGGTGGAAAACAATACTCCATGCGATGGGAACCTGAAAAAAAGCAGGAGTAGCTTTCCTCTTTGCAGACCAAGGGGATTTCACACCCACACATTAAGAGAGACAAAGAAGGACACTACATTCTTGTAAAGGGACCAGTCCAAGAGAAAGAGATGATAATCATAAATATCTATGCACCAAACACTAGTGCACCCAACTATATAAAACAAATACTAATGGACATGAAAATCCATATAAGCACTAATACAATAGTAGTGGGGGACCTTAATACCCCATTGTCACAAATAGATCAACTAGACAAACGAGCAATGAAATACTAGAACTCAATCAAACTATTGAAGATATGAACCTAACATGTTTACAGAGTGTTCCACCCCACAAAATCAGAAAACACATTCTTTTCAGCTGCACACAGGTCATTCTCCAAAATAGACCACATACTTGCTCATAGAACATATTTAGGTAAGTGCAAAGGAATTGAAGTTATCCCCTGTATATTATCAGACCATAATGTGATGAAATTGGAGATCAACAGCAAAAGAAACTGCAAAAACTTCATAAACACATGGAAATTGAACAACACACTTTTGAATAACCAATGGGTCACAGAGGAAATTAAAGAAATCAGACAGTTCCTTCAATTAAATGACAATGACAATACAACATATTGGGACACAATGAAAGCGGTCTTATGAGGGAAATTCATAGCAGTGAATACACATATTAGGAAAACAGAGTGAGCCCAATTAAACAACCTGATGCTGAACCTCAAGCTTCTAGAAAGAAGGGCCAGGGATTTAGCTCAGTGGTTCTGTCACCTGCCTTGCAAGTGCAAGGACTGGAGTTCAATCTCTGGTACCAAAAAAAAAAAATCTAGAAAGAGAAGACCAGGACAAACCCAAAGCTCATACAAGGGAGGAAATTATAAAGATCAGGGCAGAAATCAATGCAATGGAGACTAAGAAAACAATACAAAAACTCAATGAAGCCAAGAGTTGGTTCTTCGAAAGAATAAACAAAATTGACAAACCCTTAACCAACCTTATCAGAAAAAGGAAAGGAAAGAAAAGGCCCAAATCCAT